GAGAGAGAGAGAGAGAGAGAGAGAGAGAGAGAGAGAGAGAGAGAGAGAGAGAGGACCTGGCCATGATGCGTTATAGCCAAAGTGCTCGGGTGCTGAACCCACGGCTCTCCATCTATCTGCACGGGAAAAGCAGCAAATAGCAGGATCTTGATAGACTGCCCTTGTGCTAACCTTCGAGCACGTGAGAGCCCAACCTGTAATTAAACAAACATCCATTAAGCAACACATGAAAGGAGTTCTATAGCTACCAATCGAAAGCTTGACCCAGGATAAGCAAAACAACAGAACACAGAGAAATAGATTATCACACGCATGTTATTTGCTGTCTTTCTCTAGTTAATTATATATCATGCCATATTAGTATAAAAGCCAATCAAGAATTTAAAATAATAGAGGAATTCTATAATAATTCTTGGGAAGAGATTACCAAAACTAATGCAGAGTCATGCAAAATCCATGAAGAAAATCTTGTTTCCCACTAATTCAAATCAACAAAAAAAAGGAATATAACAAACTTCTGCAAGGCAGTAAGAGTTGTACCCCACATAGAGGGTTGATACTTGACGAGTTGATGTATATCTGGTCCTTTCGAAACAATTATTGCGTCATTACTCTCTCTCTCTCTCTATGCAAATTTAAGACCTCATCACCAAGTTGATATAGGACCCAACAATCCCAAATGAGATACCTAGGGCTTCCTAGGTCTCCTTTTCCTGGATTTTGGAACATTGTTTGACTAAATCAGGTCAGATATATTTCTTTTTCTTTTTTCCAAACATCCTTAGGCCAGATGATTGCAGAGATGTAGTTAAAATAAATAGTTAGATTTTCAAATTGTGTTGCTGACCCACACGAGAGGCTTAATTTCTTTATTTGGTTAGTTGGTGATGCCTAACAAGATTTGGTTAGTTGGTGATTCCCAACAAGATCATGGAAATCCAATGACTCATTGATGTCATGCACAGTTAGGCCCCATCGTTTTCACCTTCCTTCTATCGCGGATCCCTCTTCCATGATTCCATCTTATCCCAACATCCCTCTTCCATGATTCCATCTTATCCCAACCTAAAACCAAGTAAACCTCTATTCCCTCTTCTTCTAAACCCTAAACTAGAAATGCCTTTTATCTTCTTTGCCCTCATCCCATCTACCATCTTGGCCCATGCCCACCACCGGCCAACCAATTTCAAAACGGTCCACCTTATATCTAACCTAGAACCATTCATAAATTCCCTCTTCAGACCTTCCTGTTGTCTCCTTCCTGGACTCATCAAAACCCACAATACCATCCTATTTTCAAACACTAATTTAGGCCTACCATCTTCCTTGCCTACATATCATCCCCACAAACCACCCACCTCAAGATTTTCCTTTCAAACCATAACATCAAACCTAATAATCTTGCGATACGACCGATTTCCAGGAAAATTACTCCCTCGTTAAGCCCACCGAACCAAAGCCTAATCCTTACAATCCTAAAGGCTAGTTTCATCTTCAACTTCGATATTCTTCTTTAAACCTCTGAAGACCTTAACCTTTTGCTGGACAATGAAATTTCAGCAGGGAATACATTAACCTTTTGCTGGACAATGAAATTTCAGTAGGGTTACCCTAAGATTTCAAGTCCGAGACCCCATCCCCTAAACCCCATCCCAAATTCTCTTATGGTCTTGCCCCAATGCTGGACAGTAAAACTCCAGCCACTTCAGTCTCCAATAACTCTTCTCAATCTGGTTCCCATTTCGGCCCAATTATACCAATTTAATCCCACAACCTAGGCCATAGTTTTCCCTTGCTTGACCTTCATAACCTTACATCTCAGGCTCTCAGCCATTTTGAGGATTTTAATCTACCCCAAACCCTGTTGTCATATATTTCCCTAGCCACCAAGAGCTATTATGCTTGTGTAGGACAGTAGGAGTCAGGCCCTGAACGCTAGATCAGTAAGGTGGTAGGAAAGGATTAGATATGATTACAACGACAATAAGGATTAAGTTTAAGGGTGTTGTGGGGGTTGACATTTTCCGCGAGAGTAACTGATGGATATGGAGGCAATGAGGCAAAATTGGAGCCACTTTAGGATCAGCTATAGGGTATGGTGATGGGTTTGGGAGGGAGGTGGAGCTATGTTGGTGAGATAAGGGTATGAGCGATGGGTTTGCAATGAGGGTATGGCGATGGGTTTGGGAGGGAGGTGGAGTTATGTTGGTGAGATAAGGGTATGAGTGATGGGTTTGGGAAGGTTCAATTTGATGGGGTAGAAGTAGGGTGACAAATTGATTGAGGGAATTTTAAATGCATGTGTGTCACCCAACAGGGAAAAGAAAAATGCCCACGCTTATGTGGGGCGAACTTTGAACCGCAAGGGAGGCTGCTTTTGGGGAATCTCACTACCAAAAGAAGAAATGGGATCCAATCAGGAACCTCACCTCTAAAGTGGCCTCTCACTACAATTGAAAACCCAATTTTATAACACAATTATTTATTTAGCTATGTGTCTACATGAGTATTTATAAAGATTTGAAAGTGGTGTTAACATCGCTAAACTTCGGGTGAATTGCCCGAAGTTATTGTTTGCCACGCCGCTGAAACGAAGCAAGTGATGAAAATTTCAGTCGGACTTCATTGTGAAAATCTTCACGTGAAAATAATGTTTCATCAGTTACTCATGGGTTACATTGTAACTTTTATTAACATTTACATTCATACAATACGTGCACATGGTTAAAGCCTTGAGAGCGAAAATGAGAGAGAGCAGCATTCTCTTTCTAAAGGAAAATTGTTTCATGCGGGCTAGACCGCATTTCTACATATGCGGTCCAGAAAGTGTAAAGCATCCATCTTAAAGATGGATGCAAGTAGGCGTTCCATCTAAAAACAATAGAAACTAACGGTCCAAATATTTTCTTACTAGAATTATTATTTACAGTTTTCAAATTTATTTATTTTTTCACATTCATGAACTCCATGTTAGAGATTTATTAAGAGGCCCGCATTTCTACATATATGGGCCTGGCTGCATAAAAACCGGGTCCTTTTCTAAATGAATAAAATACTAATAACTAAAATAAAACAATTTTTAGAGTAAAAAGGTACATTGTAAAAAAACAATTATAAGAAATTTACTGAAGTGGCAAATGGTTTCAAGTTTTATATCTATTTGACTTCTCCAAAATCAACCGAAGTGCCAAACCCCTTCCTTTCTTGAGCCAAAAGGAAGAGGCCTCCGAAGCGAATTTGATAAAATTGGTTTGAATCCCTCTTTATTTGAGTTGGCTTGGGACCCAAGCTATCGCTACTTTCCTAAAATCCTAATCTTTTAAACTCTTTCAAAATTAAATAATTAAATAACTAGTTCCTTTATAGCTTTAGGAAATAGATCTTTACAATAATAAAAAAGAATCTTCATATAAAGAAAACTAGAACTAACTTGCAAGCTTGGGAGGATAACATCTTACTAGAAATTGATGAGGTCTATAACATTCCTAGTTATATTGACATATTTGGACACTGGGATGCTCGAATCAGGAAATTTTTCTAGAGATAAAGGTCATAGATCTCAAAAGAGATCTTTGATTTGATCTTTAGATTGCCTCAAAAAAAGATCCTGGTAAAAAAATGAAGTCATTCAAAAGTTGACTGATCGCAAGTCTTCAACTTAAACCTCTCTCTCTCTCTCTCTCTCTCTCTCTCACACACACACACACAGA